GCTCGCTCATCACCTCCTGCCATACTCAACTCTAGGAGTTTGCTAGAGTCTCTGCCTTCCTCTGGAACTCCCTACCCCAATCTCTATGGCTATTTCCTTCTCTGTCCACCTTTAGGTGATCCCTGAAAACCCATCTCTTTAGGGAAGCCTACTCTGTATTTACCTAAAAACTCAACTTTTACCTTTTACATTAACTCATGCCACCACAGTCATTACCTACCTATATCACTTGCTCCTCCTTCCAAAAATCAAGGGCTTCCTCTTGCCTTGCACATTGTAACTGTACTGTCTCCCTTTATTTTCTAACCTTACCCTTTGGGAACACGTTTGGGAATCCTCTTCTACATAGGGGTTGTGAGTAACAGATCAAATTTACTCTTCTAGATTCTGTTGCAGTGAAAGGGAGGAATGGCTTCACATCCCACTGGTACATAAAATGTTCAGTAAAATTTATCTAGCTCTTGCCAATGGGAATCTGAGCAGTAGTACTTGAAATACACTTCTTAACACAGTGTATGTAACAACAACATCCTAGTGCACTAAAAATATGAAGCGCTAGCACCTACATAATAATTCTCAATGTTCCTTTGCTGAAGAACTAGCATTTAAGAAACAAAACAGTTTATACAATAAGTCAAAGTGTAGGTTCAACATTTTTCCAACAATATTGTATTCTACAGTTAAGTGAATAATGCTTAAACTGGAATTACGTTTTGATTACTAGTGGTAATAAGCAAATTAAAAAAACAAAACACATTAGCATAATTAGAGCTTTAACACTGAGCATCATGTGGCTATTCACAGCCAAATTAAAGTTTGTAATAGCAATTCCTTGTTGTAACCATGTCTCAGAAGGATCATTTACACAAACTTTCCCAAAAGCAGCTTATTCATGTTATCTGCTTTGTTAATGACAACTCCATACAGATATCTAAAGTTAATATAGAAGAACCTATATCAATGTACCTCACTTCAAGTTCAAACTTCAAAAGTTTTTATTCCTCGTATTTAGATATGTGTTATGGAAGTTCATAGGTAGGTTTAGCCAACAGTATTATTAAAATGGCTTAGCCAATAAGCAGTGTTTCAATACTAAAATAAATAGAATTTAGAAAATAAGTTTGTTTTTCCGATATCGGCAAAATAAAACCAAAATCACGTTAAGACAAAAACAGGAAGTTTAATGCTGTTGCTTTAAATGGCAACCAAAAAGAGCTTAAGATTTAATTTCCACTTCCACAGCTATAAAGCCTGAATTAAATAATGGCAGTTAAAAATCTGGGAGTGATAAAAGCTTTAAGCTATGTGCGTGAGCATTTGCATGTGGGCAGCATTTAAAACTAATTAAAAAGTTTGCCATCACCAGCTGCTCAGTGTTAATTAGTCTTCACATTTGTGTCTTAGTAAGAAAAAATGACACTGATGCTACCAAAGACTATCACATTTCACCCACTGTTTGGAGAATTGCACAAATTCCTTTCACAAGTATGGATAATCACCAACCAGATCTCTCTAAGCATTAGGAATAAAAAAATACTAACTTTGACAGAATTCAGGAGGCATGTATTGTAACCTGTGGATCCTTAACAAAAACCTGTCATGAGGTACACAAAGACTGCCATAGTTGGCTTCTCCTTTTGAAAATGCTAGTAGCTTCGCTGTCCTGATGATCCTCCAGCTTCAATATTTTATAAACCTGCAACAAGTATGCAGATAAGGATTTATGACTTTTACATTTCTGATCTGCATACTTATGGCAGGTCAGTGTCTTAGAAAGCATTAAAGGTTGCTAGACAACTAGCATGTTTCGAAGGAGGTGGGCAATGGCAGCCTATATATTTCTCTGATGACAGGTTTACTATAGGTGGACATATTTTACATTTTTGAAAGAAAAATGGACCTCAACACGAAAAGTCCTTTAGACTTCGAGGCCAACGGCTTCCAATAAGAACCATAGTTACAATGGACACAGGTGGCGCATGTTAAATCCAAACATCTAAGGCCTGGTTCACACCTGGGCATTTTGTAGCGCGTTCGAACGCTCTGCAAAACGCTCAAACATCGAAATCCCATAATTTCCTATGGGTATGGTTCACACCTGGGCGTATTACAGGCCGTATGAACGCGCTACAAAACGCCCTACGCCCAAAGAAGTACAGGAGCTTATTTGGGGCGTTTTTGTCGCACGTTTCCATTGGGATACAGCCATGTAGCCCTCGGAAACGCACGTTTGTCATGTTTTTTTTAATACCGCGAATCGTGGTAAAAACGCATGTCACGAAACGCGCGACAAACGCGCATATTCGATACGCCTAGGTGTGAACCCAGCCTAAAAAGGAAAGTTAGTTCAAGAAACTGCATGAAATTCGAAATGCAATCTGAACATATTGACAGGAATTCATCAAAACTGGAGCAGACAGAATGTGAAGCAGTTTTCCATGGCAACTAATTAGCTTCTCTCTTTCATTTTCAAAGAATAACTGAACAAAATGAAAATTTAAGCTGATTGGTTATAATAGGCAACCCATCCAGATTCTGTCTGCTCCAGTTTTATTAAACTCCCCTCATTGAATATTAAGCGGACACTACCAACAATCTATCAAAAAAACAAATGTTTATTTTAGGCATTACTAGTAATAACATGTTCATTACATGTTCATTTTAAAAATGTTTACATATATTTTATTTTAATTCCTATATGCATTGTATTTCATGAGACCAGCCTTATAACGGCTCTATCTTTACTCAGTTGTGTATCATATAGTCCATTAGGGCTGCAACAACTAATCGACATAATCGATTATTGAAAAAGTTGTCAACTTTTTCAATAATCGATTAATCGGCTTCCGATCAGTTGGCCCTGTTCACGGCTTCCCACATGCTGCACGTCGCACCTCTTCCCCACCTCACACTCGCTGCTGCCAGGGTCGCCCGCATCCACGCTCTACACGCCGCACCTCGTCCCCGCCTCACACTCCCCGCCCGCCCACATACACGATCGGCACAGGGACGCGGGGAGATGTAGTAAGGAGGAGCAGGTGTGGGGGGGATGACAGCCACCGATAGACAGGCCCGATCTCAGAAGCAAGTTGCTGGAAGACTGCTCAGGTAAGCCTGCACTTTCCCCCCATATGGTGCTCTATAATTTATTGCTGGGATTTGTATTCCTCTATAGTTGATGGTATAATATACAGCACAATGTACCATCAGCTATAGAGGACTACAAATCCCAGCAATACATTGTACACTGTATGTATAATTTATTACTGGGATTTGTTGTACTCCACTATAGTTGGTGATAATCTGCACTGCGCTGTATAGAGGACTACAAAACCCAGCAACAGTACATTATACAGCACAATGCAGAATACTGCCAGCTATAATGTACTATTGCTGAAATTTGTTGTAGTCCTCTATAGCTGGTGGTATTCTGCATTGTCATGTATAATGTATTGCTGGGATTAGTAGTCTTCTATAGCCGGTGACATTCTGCATTCATTGCTGTATAATTTTACACTTTCCATTTCACTATATTGCACACCACACTATTTTTTTTCTGTTTTACTTCCACCGCTCCAAGCTTGCTCCTGTGATGGACTACAATCTCTATACAAACTAGTCGTCAATCATTGGAGACATTTTTAAAAATGTATTTTATTGTTTATCCGATTAATCGAACTTAATAATCGGCTAACTAATCGATTTTGAAAATAATCGTTAGCTGCAGCTCTATAGTCCATGCTGTGCAGATTTTCCTGTTCAAAGTTTGCAGTGCACTGTATGGATCCTCAGACATCACCTAGTAGAACTGAATGGATTCCACTATACCTCACTGTCAGCTGCATTCTTTCTGACCTGATTAGTAACTTTAATCTAAACAAACAGCATGGTGTTCTTACTGCAACTGTTTTATTACCACCCTGAAATTACATTCTGCAGGAGGTACACATACTATGAACATGTGGGTGGAGAGATTATTAGCAATATCCAGCTATAAATTGTTAAAATCTATGATGAATAAATCCCTAACCATTGTTTATTTTATTGGATGCACAAATATAATCCTACCTAAATACCAGATTATTTGTTGGTCATGATTATATTAGAGTTTATGATATTATGCAAATGATCAGACTCTCAGAAGATATTCATTCATCCAGTATTCAACTCCACTGTTCAGTGCCATTATGGAAAAGATCTCCACAGAATAGGACCTATGGTCAGCATATAAACTATTGTATTCTGGAAAGAATGTGCATGAAGCAACACTATTCTAGCACATACAGGGACCTTAACGTACAAAAATATTGGTCAAACTGATGAACAGAGTATGAGTGACGCACTGGAGTGTTCAATGGAGGAGTGAAGACTAACCCCTTTGATGTCCAAGCCATGGTACAGATTTTGAAATGATGGCACTAACAGATTGGAAACATGTGTAGTTAGGGCCCCTTTCAGACGGGAAAATAATTATTGGATCAGCAGGGGATCCATGCACAGATTCCCTGAAGATCAGGGAAGTATGGTGCAGATGCCATTTTTGTGAGATTCATGTCCGTTCAGTTTTTTTCTCCATGTGGTAATGAAGGAGCAAACTAAACTAACTGGACCCATGTTGGGTCTATGGGGAGTTGAATATAAGCAGACATGTGTGCCCTAACATCTGATCCACCCCGTTCAGAGTTGCAAAAACAGAACTTTGTTCCTTTTTTTTTGGGACCTACACAGACTTGTAGATAATGGGATGTAAACGGACCTGCGTCCAACATTAATGGAGAATTATGGGATGAGTGAAATGCACGCTGAAGCTGTAACACATCGGTTCTATAGATCGAGAACACATACAGCCGATGATCTCCCCGAAGTGAGCGGTGACCATCGGACTGGAGGGACAGATGGGGGAGGGGGTGGGCACAGCAGGCTCTGCCTCATTAAAGGTTATGCAAAAAACAACGCATAATACATTTCTAATCAAAAGGCACAACAAAAGATTTTTATACCTGTGAAAGATTCCAAGGTGTAGGTTGATTTTGCTGCATCCCAAATTTGTTTGGAGGTGTTCCCATATTGCTAACCATTGTTGTTTGTGGTCCCATCATGTTAGGTGGGAGACCCATTACTCCTGCTGGAGCATTTCCAACAAATCCATTTGGAATACCCATACCGACCATCATTCCAGTATTCTGTCCCATTGCAGGCATGGCTTGTCCCATCATGTTTCCCATCATTCCAGCATTGGCAGGAACAGCTACTCCCATTGGTGGGAAAGCCTGGAAATTACTTGTCGCCTGGGTGGAGTACGGCATTGGAGAGGAACCCATGAACATAGCTATATTTGACAAACAAACATAATTAGTAGTAGAATTATATTGAAGCAGGGACCACATGGATTACATTTGACTGGTTTATCGTAGGAGCTAGTGCCATTGTGTTTCTACTGAAAGCAGGTACATGCACTTTTGTCTTCTTGAAACATTCCCAGATGTCTGTGCAGGAAAGTTTCTGCACCAAACCTTTCAACACAGATTGTCAACACCGAAAATTGCGCCCTCTCATTCTTTCATTCTAAGAACCTGCAAATCATGTGATGCTACCTTGAGAACTGAGATTAATTTCTTCATAAAAACTAAAAACATGCAGACAGTAAAGGTACTGGAAGCCCCAACTTCAGACAGAGCTTAAAGTAGTATTAAGGTCTGGTTGTTTTTTACCTTAATGCATTCTCTGCATTAAGGTAAAAACGGCCCAGCACCTTTTTTTCTCCCCCAGTCCCCCCCACACTTACCTGTCAGCTGCGCTCGTCCACGGCCGGCCGAGAGGTCTCTAGATCTGAGCGGGCGTCTTTAGACGTCCGCTCAGACACGTCTCCTCGCGCCGCCCGGCGCGCGCGAGCGGGAAATGGCCGGTATTTAAAAACAGGCAGCGATGCCTGTTACCATACAAGCGATCCACCAGCTGTAGAGCCGGCGGATCGCGTGTATGGTGTGCCGATCGGTCCCCCCGATCCAAACTCCGCACGAGCTCCCTCCGGTCCCTTCTCCTCTGCAAGAATGCGGAAGTGTTGTATATTACATCACTTCCGCATTCTTGTGTCACTCTCCAGCTTCAGAAGCTGGAAAGAAGCTGATGGAGCAGATCTGTGGTTCATCAGCTTCTTTTGGGGAGTAGGAGTTGAAATGGCATTATCTCAGAAACATGGACAGATAATGTGAAGAATTAAAAGTAAAGCCAACTTTTTTTTAAATTCATCTTTACTTCTCTTTTGGGTCACAGGAATACATTTACTAATACAAGTACTTCTAATGCCTGCTATCAGCTGACAGTGGGGACCGGTGCCCCAGGCAGTAAGTATCCACCCGGCTGCCTGACAGCTGGCTCTGCCACTCTAGAGCCAGAGCCAGTGATGCACACTTCCTCCCCTGTCGGTAGCTCCAGCCAGTGGACCGGAGAAACAGAGAGGGGAGGAGGGAATTCCTGCAGGGGGGCAGTGACTGACAGTCACTGCTGTACGCAGGGAGAAAAGACCGAGAGCTGAGCAATCAGTGGTAACATGATTGCTTAGCTCTCTGTATAGAGCCAGCATGAGACATATTTTACTCTGCCCGCACTGCTACTTTAAAAGAAAGAGAAAAAATATAATATACTTTAGACAGCTATGCACATATTTCTCATAAATCCCGCACATATTGAGAACATTTACCTGCAGCATTTTGCTGTTGCATGTGTGTTGTGCCATAAAGTGACAAGATGGAATCTTTTGACAATGGCTTTTTTGGAGCTTCTTCAGATTTTGTGGCTTGATCAGTAAATAAATCTAGGTCTCCGGTAGAAGGAGGTACGTTAGTAGCTGCTGGGGCTGTGGCTGTAACCTAAAGTAGAGAAATCAGATTAGAAAAAGTTAAGGTAAGCATTAAGACAATATAAATTCTTCCCATACTAGAACAATGTGAAGAAAAAAGTATTTAATACACTGCACTATAATCACACTCAGCTAACACAACTAACAGCTAACATCATATTTAGCTAACACAAAAATATATCATGCAGCAGAGACTGCTGGTCGGTTGGGCTTTACATAATCTAGCTACAGCATGCTTTCCATTAATACAATATATACATAATAACTATGCAATGTTCAATAACCCGCAGTGTCCAGATTTCAGTTCGCTATACCCTGAGCAGTGAAAAGCCTCCGATTTGCTACCATATGTTAAAACACTTAAGTACTAGAGTAAGAACCCAATTATATTAAAATAGGTTTTATAGCAAAGGTTATGCATGCAACAAAATATTGTCATGTAAAGACAGAAGATATTACGGTAATACATTAAATTTGTAAATCACATATTGAAGCAAATTTAATTGTAACTGACCAACGGAGTGTTTGCATTATGTGTACATAGAAGGACAGCTGAAGCCAGGTCTCTTTCTTCACATTTGACAATTTAGAGCATTAAATACTTCAATGATCTGTATGTTGTCTCTCACACACCAGCAACAAATCAACATATATAGTTTAAAAAAAGGCTCACTGTCCAGGAATGGAGTGGGTGGTTTATAGTTCCTTTAAAGTGACACTAAACTCAGGTGTTAAATTTAAAATTACATTCCCGTACCTTAACTATTAACAAAAATGTATCGTTTTTGTATCACTTGGCTGTAGATTCTCAAATCTTCTCTGAATTGGTGCGGACACTGTCCTTCCTACAGTTTTGTTAATAGGTAAGGTACTTAAATGCATTTTTACGATTTTACTAAATTAGTGTCACTTTCTTATCCAAAACAAATCTGAGTATACATAAGTGATTTCATATTTAATGAAGATAAAAAGATAAGTGCAGGTAGAGTGTTTGAGTAAAACACATGCATCCGAAAGCCCAACTCCAACCAAAAACCCTTTAATTTGGATAGAGCCGGGGAGAGTAAGAACATCTAATAACTTTGCAGTGCAGGCTTCGTCACTTTTTAGGATATATCTGCTTAATTCCGATTTATATGACAGAAAGATCTTCAAACTTCCTTTCTATTTGATGGGTTTCAGCAGAAATAGGAATAAAAAAAATCTCCAATAGGCACACATGCAGGAATAAAGGCACTCCTTCTAGCAGACTGAGATTTGTAGAGATTTAGAGCCTCTGTCAAGGCTTTACTGTTGTTCAGGTCCTCGCGAGAAGGAATAAGTAAAATCTGCTCTATAGGGACCCTAGCAGACTTGAAAATCATGAGATCAAACTCTATTGAATGGGGACAGACAGCATTAAAAACTTTGCAGAAGTTCTAAAACTTTCCAACTCTTTACAACACTAAAGTCAATAATACCCTTGTGAATGTTTTTATTATGTGAAAATGTATTTTCTGATATTTAAGTTGTCTTTCTTAGGGTGAATGTAACATTCCCTAATACCCTAAGAACATTCAATCCTAGGAAAAAAAATAGCTGAGGAACATCAGAAGAGAAAATAGCCTAACAACCTTTAAATAGAAGAGACAGTACCTTAGGAACATTTGGTTTTGCTCCATTTGCCACCGCTTTATACATTGTGCAAACATTCACTAAAACTAATGAGCGAATGCTTGTTAATTCGCACAGAACGAATAAACATGCAGTATGCTGGACGAATGCAAATTTTTTTTAATGAATAGACGTCTTCGTCTAGGCTAGAGTTGGGCTTTTAATAAGAATTTCTCTGGTTTGTTTGCATTCTATCAATCAAAATGATTTTGTAAATGGCCAATACTGTACATACTACAACAATAGCACAGATCATCTAAAGTAGAGCTGCAACAACGATTCGATTTAGTCGATTATTCGGCTATCTATTGCATTGCCTGTTCGAGGCTCCACACTCAAGCCCTGCACGCAGCGCACGCCATGCCCACCGAACGCGCACGCCGCGGAGGCCCAGCTCCCGGCTCTCCTCTGATCTCGGCGCTCCTCTCATCTAGCTGGGCCGATCACATGACGGGTGCCGGGGATGTGAGCGCGACGGGTGTCAGCCGGGGGACGGAGACTATGGCTGGGGACGAGCCGGCATCCAGGCTAAACCTTTCAGCAGAAGACATGGAGGGAATGTTCAGACGGTAAGTGCTGCAACCCCCCTCCCCAGAGCCACGTCCTCTCCATTCCTGCACTCCATTACACCCTCATACCCTTCCTCTCCATCCCTGCACCCCAACCCACCATCATACCCGTCCTCTGCACCCCATCCCCCCATCATACCCGTCCTCTGCACCCCATCCCCCCATCATACCCGTCCTCTGCACCCCATCCCCCCATCATACCCGTCCTCTGCACCCCATCCCCCCATCATACCCGTCCTCTGCACCCCATCCCCCCATCATACCCGTCCTCTGCACCCCATCCCCCCATCATACCCGTCCTCTGCACCCCATCCCCCCATCATACCCGTCCTCTGCACCCCATCCCCCCATCATACCCGTCCTCTGCACCCCATCCCCCCATCATACCCGTCCTCTGCACCCCATCCCCCCATCATACCCGTCCTCTGCACCCCATCCCCCCATCATACCCGTCCTCTGCACCCCATCCCCCCATCATACCCGTCCTCTGCACCCCATCCCCCCATCATACCCGTCCTCTGCACCCCATCCCCCCATCATACCCGTCCTCTGCACCCCATCCCCCCATCATACCCGTCCTCTGCACCCCATCCCCCCATCATACCCGTCCTCTGCACCCCATCCCCCCATCATACCCGTCCTCTGCACCCCATCCCCCCATCATACCCGTCCTCTGCACCCCATCCCCCCATCATACCCGTCCTCTGCACCCCATCCCCCCATCATACCCGTCCTCTGCACCCCATCCCCCCATCATACCCGTCCTCTGCACCCCATCCCCCCATCATACCCGTCCTCTGCACCCCATCCCCCCATCATACCCGTCCTCTGCACCCCATCCCCCCATCATACCCGTCCTCTGCACCCCATCCCCCCATCATACCCGTCCTCTGCACCCCATCCCCCCATCATACCCGTCCTCTGCACCCCATCCCCCCATCATACCCGTCCTCTGCACCCCATCCCCCCATCATACCCGTCCTCTGCACCCCATCCCCCCATCATACCCGTCCTCTGCACCCCATCCCCCCATCATACCCGTCCTCTGCACCCCATCCCCCCATCATACCCGTCCTCTGCACCCCATCCCCCCATCATACCCGTCCTCTGCACCCCATCCCCCCATCATACCCGTCCTCTGCACCCCATCCCCCCATCATACCCGTCCTCTGCACCCCATCCCCCCATCATACCCGTCCTCTGCACCCCATCCCCCCATCATACCCGTCCTCTGCACCCCATCCCCCCATCATACCCGTCCTCTGCACCCCATCCCCCCATCATACCCGTCCTCTGCACCCCATCCCCCCATCATACCCGTCCTCTGCACCCCATCCCCCCATCATACCCGTCCTCTGCACCCCATCCCCCCATCATACCCGTCCTCTGCACCCCATCCCCCCATCATACCCGTCCTCTGCACCCCATCCCCCCATCATACCCGTCCTCTGCACCCCATCCCCCCATCATACCCGTCCTCTGCACCCCATCCCCCCATCATACCCGTCCTCTGCACCCCATCCCCCCATCATACCCGTCCTCTGCACCCCATCCCCCCATCATACCCGTCCTCTGCACCCCATCCCCCCATCATACCCGTCCTCTGCACCCCATTCCCCCATCATACCCGTCCTCTTTATTCCTGCATCATACCCGTCCTCTCCAATAACACCAGCTATAGGAGGAATACGTCAGATCCCAGCAATAGTACATTATAGTATAATTACTATTGCTGCAATTTGCTGTATTCCTCTATAGCTGCTGGTATTCTGCATTGCGCTGTATAATGCACACCACACTTTTTTTTACTTCCACCGCTCCAAGCTTGCTCCGTGATGGACTACAATCTCAATACAAACTAGTAGTCCCATCACTGGAGCCTTTAAAAAAAAAAAATCCAATTAATCGAACTTAATAATCGGCTAACTAATCGATTATGAAAATAATCGTTAGCTGCAGCCCTAATCTAAAGGCCTAATTACAAATAGCTATGCACTCAAAGAAATGTAAATATATATTTTTTTTAATTAAAAGAAATGTAAAAATTGTAAAAAGGTAAATGAACCAATAACAGTATTGTATAATGAAAAAAATATTTACACTTGTAGCTACTATTTTACTTCGTTGGAACGTGACATGTAGTTTGAAATAATCTCCACACAAAATTAATCATTTTTTTAGTGACAAGTGGAACCTTGTGGGCTGATACACCCCTGGCTTCTTAAATCACATGCGACTCCTCTTCCCCTGTGATAGCTCCTGGCTCTGTTCCAATTCACCATTGGGCTACCACTCTGTTCCAATTCACCTTCTGCTACATTTCCCATACTATAGAAGTCCAACAGTGATTGTGCAAACACTGTCATAACAACTAACACAGAAGTAGACACTTGGAAATTTAAAGGAGAACTATGGGGTTAAAGGAGAACTATGGGGTCATAACATCAGTTGTTTTTGATTCAGCACAATATATTAAATAATATAACAAATGAAAATGTACCTAATATTTTGATGCACAACTTTGCAATGATAGTCAATCGCTGCAAACAAGTCATTTCTGTAGCTCTCAATGAGACTTCTGCAAACAGGTCGTTTGGCCCAAACTGCTCCAACTATCTCAGGTTTGAAGGATGCCTTCTCCAGACTGCATGTTTCTGCTCTTTCCATTGATGTTCAATAGAATTCAGATCAGGGCTCATAGAAGGCTATTCCATAATAGTCCATTGTTTTTGTTCTTACCCTTTTTTGGATGCTTTTAGCTGTGAGTTTTTGGAGGACTCATGACCTG